TTCTTATTTAAAGGTACAGTTTAGCCTTGCATTTTTATGCGGTAAATTTGATTTTTTGGATGCATTTGGCATTGGAAAGATTTTTTTAAATGAAATATGTTCTCGCCCCAACCGTGAGTTGCCGATCATCTACTAAAGATCATGGATCGAAATTCTCTTTTTCAGATGGCAGATCGTAATTTTTTTGATTGTACAGTATATTGATGGACTTCTTATTGCTGTACTGTATAACGGAATTCGCGTTATCGTTTGAAATTACTCAAAATATTAACGTTCATATTAAGATCTGAAATTTAAAATCGGTTTCATTTTCATGCTGAAAATTTGGCATTGTCGCAGAATTTTCTTGGTGACAGTTCGCTCGAGTTCGTTTAGAATTGATTCAAGTTTTTTTTTTCCTGTTCGATTCAAGTGACAATGCGTCCCCTTCCATTTTTGCTGTCGTATTTCGATGAACGTAAATCCGCCCAGTGACGCAAAAGATGACGTAGCTCTTCTGTCACTTGAGAAATGTACGCGGGAACCGACTGAAGTTTTTCCCGGCAGTCTCCTAAATTGAATCACGCTCAAGTCTCTGAGATTTCATACTTTTTAATGTGCGGTTAGGTAACCAGGAAACAGTCGATCGATGCNTTAATTATACTATTCCGGAAATGAAGCGCTTCTCTTCAAAATTTTTCCTTGCGAAACCTCCGCAAGAAGTAGCTTTTACTCCGAGAAGCTAAATTTATGGTTTCGCTTTTCATTTGTCATGCCCCGGACTTCCTTAACGAACACCTGAAGGATCGTTTCTCTGAAGCGAGATTTAATTGAAAGCCTTGATTATCTTTTTCTTGTGCAATAATTAAAGCATTGTAACGGGTTCTTTCATCGTATCATTTTGGAGCAGAGCTTTTCAACTTCTCAATCTATTAGCACTTCCGAGGTATGGCATTGTTCCCGGATCATATTTGTTGTGCCGAGTAATATACCGACGGAGTCCAGTGTCGATTCTGGGTTTCGATTGTACGTTTTGTCATCTACAAATTTCATTATTATTGATGGAGTATCATTGGAAGTGGGCGAAGATTGGCGTAATTTTTGCTGAATAATATTTAATTATTTCCCGATCAGCCTTTTCAATTCCATTCAAATTGGTGTGGATAGAGAGAAGACAGAGAAATTAAAATCATCCTTATCGCTGCGATGACTTCCACTGGAACGTTCTCATTTTTTTTCTTGCGAATTTGAAGGCAACTCAGATGCCACCAAATATTTTGAAATATTAAAAAAAAAATTCAGTTACGGTCTGGTGACGCTGAAAACTTCGTCTTGTTGTGAAAAGTGTTCTGGTTTCTGTTCGTGCTGCTGGATATGAAGATATTCCAAAATTTCTGTTGGCGAGGAGTAATTTGTCCAAGTCTGGGATGCAAGACTTGAAAAATGTTTTAGTACAGATTTTAAAGTGGAGGCTATGAAGTCTTGTTAATTTCTTATTGATCTCGAAGTGATTTCGAGTATTCTGAGCAAAATCTGGAATATCAAAAATACTGTTTCCCATGTATTGGCGAAATTTCTGAGTAACCCTCACGCTGCTGAATTAAAATTTATGGTTAGTCTCATGGCAACATTCGGGAAATTGCATTCTACTCATTTGAAGCAAAAAACTTCTATTGCATGTCTCGTTTCTGCGCACCACGAATGGTACTCGATCACTGACTGACAAGTCATAATCTCTCGAGTCACTGCGTTCGTCGCAATCACGCCCATCTCCTCCCGAGATGAGCAAAGGTGTTTTACCGACGAAGTTCGCTGTCATTTATTTTTATTTATTTTGCTTGTTATTTGAAGGATGTGTGAAGAAGCTGCTAGTTTGTGGAGTTTGTCCCGTTGTTGATTATGCAAGCAGAGAGTGCACTGCTGGTTAGCTTGTCACGTTTTGTACGCTTTCGCGAACCCGGGAAGGAACAGAAGCGCCGCGGTCAGCAACCGTGGACGGATTTCACGCTAGTTCTCGTCCACGTTCATTTTTGTTTTTCGTTTTCTGAAAGACGCAGACCCGGGTTCATGAGCCTGAAATGTAAGTAGTCATGGAAATGGATTCATTTTTCGAGTCATCCCTCGGGAGAAAGAAAAAAGATTCTCGCTTGATATGCCAGGTTGTAGAGACCTTTTTTTTTTTGACTGCGGGGTTAAACAAAAGTTATCCCTCTGCTATGTTGAGGTGGAAATATTCTAGGCATGTATGAAAGGGATGTAAAATCTTCGACATTCATGACGGAATTTTTTGAGCGATTTCAAATTGGGTTAAATCTTTAAAATACTGTACTTGCCCTTTTATGTACTTGTTCGTTGGTCCATAGGAATTTCTGGAACTCTTCAAATTTTTAGAATTGTTTTCCCTCTAAAAAAAAACAAAAGGATACCAAATAACCAAGGTTTAAAAAAATTAATGTGAGGCACAAAAGAAAGATGAACACATTGGATCGGCACATTGGAACGATTGCTGCTGTAGGTTGGGCTTCAACAAAACAATCTATTGGGCAGTGGAATGTCATTTTCAGATGCTGGTGTGCCAAATCAATGACGGAAGGGGATTAAAGGGCTTACCGTTTGGGACGGAATGAGCTTGGGTTCGATTTTTTTTTACGCGCGTTTGTCCACTTGCTCCTTTGTGCTTACTCTTCACTGTCTTTAGTGGTGCGTCCGAAGTATCCTCCCAAGTTTCGCAGCTTTTCCCGGGTAATTTATTATCAAGTATTGAAGTATCAAATGAAAAACTTCTATTGAATGAATGACCTTTAGTGACTTTAAATATTCTTGCGAAGTGTATTAGAGTGGGCTACTCTTCGATCAGAGGGAATTCGAGCAGCTGAAGGGAAAACCGGAGTGTTTTCTCCCGAGTGATTCGCAATGTTAGTCCGGATAATCGTAATTTTACAGTACAGTAATACCAATTTAAACAAAATTTTCAACTGCATTTTCGCGGTATATCATCAAAGGAAGAATCCCGTTGGTTGTACAAAAGAGCGACCATAACCGTGAACTGGCTTCGGAAGTTGTATTTCCGCGAAGTCGATGAATGAGTGAAGAGATATGGTGAGAAATGGCACACATCGCGCTCACTTTCCTGTCCCCAGAAGTAGGTTTTGCTTTTTTTACGCGATGAAAATATTTTATAGGAACCCAGAGGCTTTGCCATCGATGGTCGGATCCATTTCCGGAGGATTAAGACTGGAAAACCTGGGGCCTGAAAATAATTAGCCAGGTGTATGTTCATTTCCCCATCGGTTTGGAGAGAGAATGAGCCAGAAAATTGGGAATTTTTCCAGCATTTTTAGCCTGGTATGCAATGGTGGATAATGAAAGGTGTGCGCGCGGAATTCATGACGGCTTCTGGAATTAATGTTAGTGCGGTTTTTCTGCAGTAGTACTGCTGATTTTTGTCTTTGCTGCTGAGATTTTCCTGGTCCGTGAGACAGTCGGGCGTCACATTGAGGCGTTTTATTCGCGTTTATACCTGGGAATATTGGAAGGTTCTCTGCTGGGGGTTCGCTAGCATTTTTAATTTTTTGGTCTTCTTCTTTCATTTTTCTCCCGTGTGATGATAATGCGCTGTGGAATGCGGAGTAAGGAGCTGATTGATCTCTGCAGCTGGCACCAGCCGTGTCCGCGTATTTTTTTCTCTTTGCTTCGCTTGCTATTGAGCTTTTGCGGAACGCTCTGATTTTATACCTTGTTTCTCGGCCGGGCTAGCGTCCGTGACCTGCGAGTTGTGCATCAGGGTTCCTGGTTCGGAGCTTTGCAGGGATTCACCGAGAGGGGTTTCCCAGAAGTCCTGCGAATCACCGAAAAAAAATTTCACTCCGAGGGGATGAAAACCTGGGTATCAGTATTGACCCCAAATATTTTTTCATTATTTGAACTGTGTCCCATTACGGATAGATGAAATTGAGATAAAATCAAATTATTTGAGGAACGAAATATTTTTATCATTTTCTATTTTTCTGCAACTGTCCTAGGGATTCTCCGCTGTCGTCTGAATATAATCACGAAAAGGTAATTTTTATCAGAATTTTGAATTTTAAAGTAGAAAAATTGCTGACATCATTTCGACTGAATTATTTCCTAAATCTCCTAGAAGCAGTCGTAAGATGTGAAGCTTTATTGATGATTCTTAATTTTTCGAATTCTCATGACCGACGGACATTCTGGCCAGTCATCGGACGAAATCGACTCACGCGCCTTTTTCCCCTGTTGCAGAAGACTGATTTTAAAATGGATTCGTTTTTTCGTGCTCTTTTGGGCGGAGTTGAGGTGACATTTATGCAATCTATGAAGTGTAATCTCAAGTTGCTGAAATCTGATGGTCAGATGTAAATACAGTTTCGATGACGGATTTTCGAGACTTCTGAGAAACCCTTAAAACAGGGAGTGAGAGAAGTTCCAGTTGGATGAGTCTGCCTGCATTTTGCTCTCAACCTCTGTCGGTCCGAGTTTTCTATCATTTTTTCTCGCTCATCTTTTTCCTTTTTAAAAATCTCTTCTCTTTTAACCTGGCTCGTCGTGCATGCTGCGTGTGTTTGATGGCACGTTTTATAAGCTAGTGGAATGCTCGTGCGCAGTGAACTGTGACATTTTCGCGGCGCGGCCGGCAGGAAGTGCTCGGTAGTCAGCGTTGTGTCGGCGGCTGAGCAAGTGCGTTTGTGCATGGAACTGATTGCATGGGCGTGAGAAAAGAAAAAAAAAGAGAGAGAGGAAGGTTATTTTGCTTAGGCTTTTTGTCAAGACACAACGAGATGCTGTATTGTACTTTTCAAAGGCAAGGGAAACCGAAGACTTTGAAAAAAAAATACTAATTATTTCTTCATTCTGTGGTTTTGCTGTTTGAGGTCTGTGCGGGAAATATTGGTGATGCTGTAGCTTTTTTGATACGTTCCACAAAAATTTCCAGGGCATAGAAAGCGAGATTTTCCCCAATTTCTACGTGCTTAGTTCGTTCTAGTTTCCTTGTGTGATCTATGCTTGGTTATTGCGATGACGATTATGATGGTTCTCGCGGACACGAGCATGTGAATTTATCTGATGACATTCGGAGGATAATTATTCCATCCTAGTTTTGGACTACTTATCCATAGAATGTGTCCGCAGCTTTTTTTGTGTGTTTGGAATACAGAAACAGAAAATTTATGTATTGTACAGTTTAAAAATTCGTGAGTGAATCAGGTGGCTCTCGCGGAGACGAGCATGCGAATTTATCCGATGATATTCGGAAAGTAATTATTATATCCTAGTTTTTGGACTTATGTCTCCATGGAATGTGTCCTCAGTTTTATTTTTCTGCGTGAAGAACAAAAAATTATCCATTACAATTCTAAAATTCGTGAGTGAAGGGAATGAGTCTTTCGTGTCACCTAACCCTGAAATGTGAATGAGGTTGAAATATCCCAGCAGTTCTCAAGTGCAGTGTTGTAAATTTGTGTGTCAGAAACCTGCGAGATTTTTTCAATAAACGAAAAAGTTGTGATTGATTGCGGTCCAAAAATTCGGGCATCAAACGATTGTTCGATACATTAAATTTAATGACCGTTGTTTTCCGATGCCTGAACAATGGGAGAATCTGATTGAGGTCAATGCGCTGTTGTTCTGGGTGTAAAACCCCCCTTTTTGGGTGCTTTGCATGGCTTTTCAAAATGCTCAAAATTTACATTTCGAATTTGCGCAAGCCGCGCGGGGATGAGATTTGCAGAAGCTGCAGCCTCGTTTATTGTTTAGGAAAATTCGAATATGCGAACGAGGTCAATGCTGAGCGTACTTTCTGCGATCGGATTTAGTGTGTGTTGACTGGAAACCGCGCGCTAGTTTTTTTTAGGTACATTACGGTTTGGAGTGCTTGCAGAATTTTATTTTGCTCTCCCAAGCAAACTGCATGAGAATCGGGGGGTTTATTTTTCATAGAAGCCGCAGTATCGCTAATGCGTCAGAGAAANAACAATGGGAGAATCTGATTGAGGTCAATGCGCTGTTGTTCTGGGTGTAAAACCCCCCTTTTTGGGTGCTTTGCATGGCTTTTCAAAATGCTCAAAATTTACATTTCGAATTTGCGCAAGCCGCGCGGGGATGAGATTTGCAGAAGCTGCAGCCTCGTTTATTGTTTAGGAAAATTCGAATATGCGAACGAGGTCAATGCTGAGCGTACTTTCTGCGATCGGATTTAGTGTGTGTTGACTGGAAACCGCGCGCTAGTTTTTTTTAGGTACATTACGGTTTGGAGTGCTTGCAGAATTTTATTTTGCTCTCCCAAGCAAACTGCATGAGAATCGGGGGGTTTATTTTTCATAGAAGCCGCAGTATCGCTAATGCGTCAGAGAAAGGAAGACGTTCCATCGTAGACAGCGAAGTTGTTTTTGTGGAGATGCTATTCTTTGTTGGCTGATTGAATAGGAAAAAGAGATCTTGCTTTCTCTGCGCGGTAAAGCAATTTTTGTGGGATTGTTTTATCGCTGTGTCTCGCTCTTTGTTTTGTTGTTGTTGTTGTTAGTTTGTTACTGTCTAGTGCTTCGTTCCCACGCTTTCCCAGCCGAGGTTTGATTTAGTGTACTTGAGCTCACTTCTGGTTCTGATTGTCGAGAATTGATAGTCTGCCTTGCGGTGGAGCATGCGTCTCGCTCGCGGTTTTCGATTCCTCTCTCCATCCTGATTTTGTGTCGCGTTGCACCCCCGAGCAGGAGCTGAAGCGGCTGGAGCACGAGCTGAAGCTGGCAGAACTGGCCAGAAGCCAGGTGGAACGGTTGGTGGAGGAGTACGGGTTGCAGGAGCGGCTGCGGGACGGCGCCCGTGCAATGGCGGCGGCTTTCGCGAGTGGACCCAGCACGCGGCGACGTGGGCCGGCAGTGGACAGGGTTCGGTCGGGCTTCTTTGACTGTGTCGGCGCGATGGGCGAGCTCGAGACGAGGCTTGAAGCCTTGGTCGGTGTTTTTCACTGTCAAATTCAAGGTGAGTCGTCTTCTCCAATAGTTATTCATTTTTTATATATTTTTTTAATTGTATCTCGTGAGACACAAAGTTATTGAAAGCAACCTTGCATGATTTTATTTATTATTTATCCTTTAGTTTGTGAATTGTACATCGTTAGTGCGGGATGGTGAAATAACGTCATAAACTCATAATTCCACCACGGGATTACTTTCGTCAAGCCTATCCTAGAATAAACTCGTAAAAAAAAATCTTCCCACATTTCACAACTGGACCAACCTCGTACAGCAAAAAATTCGTCAAGTCCCAACATCTCGGGTAATACAAAAAGACAAGGTTATCCCTGATGACGATATTCCGCGACGAGTTCAATTCGCGACGAGATTATTCCAGGCTGATGAGGTTGGGCCTGACGACGTTATTCGAGCCACCCGTTAGTGCAACGTTGAAAACGAGTGGGGGTTTTCTTCTCTTTGCCGACTCTTGTCAGTTGCATCCTTCTACCAAATTCCGCAAGTGTGCAGAAGAGTCTTGAACCGTGCCAGTATCTAGCAGTATCTGCGATCCCTTCAACATTTTAGATCAGAATACATTACAGTTTTTTACGTGTACAGACGAAATACAGTCATCTGGGCAGGTTGCTATCGCCATGTCAAATAAATTTATTTACGAGGGTAGGAGAGGCCTTAAAAAATGGAATGCGTATTAATGATGATTTTATTCCGATACAAAACATTCTTTTCAATTGTTGGAGTCCGTTCATTCTACTAATCCATCAGCTACTGGCTTGAGCTCCTTGACAGCTTCGAATACATAATCAGAATTCTGTCTCTTACGCTCCTGATGCGAAAATATTGGCGATGAATTTTCAACAGTATTTGAAATTTAGATATACATGAAACAATAAGTGTATTTTCATTCGAAGAGTGCTTTAGTCAGAAGCAGTTAGGTTCTCGATTTGCCAATGTAGAACCCAAAAATCTAAGACGTCAAAAGAAGAAAGAAATGCCTACCTTGATTTTCAAATTAGACTTTGCGAAAATGATCGAGGATTCCAATTGTCACGATTCCGCGAAGAATCAAAGGTGCAAAGCAATTCCCTCAGTGATGGAACCATATGGACTTTCAAAGTACGATGAACGTGTCGCAATTTTAGGAGGAAAAATCCAGCCATTATACCTGGTATTCATTTGAAATACATTTTGATATATAATTCTATCTATCGCAAGCAAGTAGAACAGCTAAATTGAAATGTGCAGGTTTTTTGTGCTTTCTTTCTTCATCTCAACGAATTGAAGTTTGAGCACCTTCAATCAAATGTACGTTTGATCCAAGCCTGGATAAACGGAGGTCTGTTGTGGTTCGTTTTTTTGTTGCTTAAATGATAAATGCTGTAATCTGAGAGCAGACATCTGAGAATGTATTCTGTGATCATATTTCAATCTTCTTGCCCGCAGCAAATTTTTATAAATTCGTAAGATGATATACATTATGCAGTACAGGAAATAGATTCAACAGAATCGCTGAAATGCAGTAACGGGCAAAAATAACCTTTGAAGATTTTGAAGTATTTATACTCCGTATTTGGACGAATAGGAAATAGAAAGAAAAAATGATGATATGAGGACAACTGTGAACGAAGAATTTCAAAATTAATCTAATAAGCTTTGGAAGGTTTTCGTAAGTCATGGGTCTTCTGCGTTTTGCCCCCCGGTTGATCCGTACTCAATGAATCAAGTCTCAATGCAACTCAGCGAAGGATTCCAAATTCCATATTAGGTAAAAAAAAATTGCTTAGCTTGACTCACCCGAAAGTACATTTTCGAATCGTCATAATGCGACATCACACTCGGGAAATGGCCCACACCTCGCGTCAGGCTTTGAACTAGATCGATGATGCGAATCAGAGTCTCCGCGTTTGATTCCGCCTCTGGGATTTCATGGAATTGCCCAAACGCGACGTGAATGAATGAATGGTTCGGTTTCGGGAAAACAATGCTTTCGCGACGAGTACGTTGGCAGATGAATGGAAGCAAAACTGGGACACGCTGCCTCGTTTATCCTTCATCCCGCCAGTGTCCAATGAGCGTACGCGGGTGCAATGACGCTTCGCATTTTTAATTGAGTGAAATGAAAGCACCGTATTTAATTGTGAGAATGGCGATGTCCGAATGCATCCCCGCAGGCTTAAAATATGTTCTATTGACGGGGGGATTTATCTGACGACGCATAGTTTAATCATCGGCTCAAAATATTCAGTTGCAACGAGTCTTGTATTTTTCTTTTTTGTTGTTGTTGTTCTGTGCCTTATTTCTCTGAATGACGTCTGAACACGCACCTGGCGAGGCAGTAAGTTTGCTCTCCTTCGCATTAATGCTCGATTCATCGTGCGTGTTACTGTAGTAGGCGCGCGAAGTGGAACAGAATTACCTTCATGAAAGGAGCCATATGCTGTTGAAGGAAAGATATGGAACTACACGTATTGGTAGGTTACGTTCTCGTGCTATTTTTTTTTTCTTCTCGAATTGATGGTGTACACCGCATCGAATTTGAATGATCTGTTCTGCCTAATTACCGCATTTGAAAATTATTACATTTGCTTCAGATTTCACTTTTCAGTGAGTTCAGCTGATAATATTTCCGTTTTTGCAGTCGGAAGCTGGAGTGATATCTGATTTCTACTCGCATTAAGATTTTTTTAACGCAGTACTTAAAACATGAATAAGCCGGGTTTTTTTCATCGAATCAAACATTCTCAATTTTTATATCATCTTCCCACGTATTCCAACATTCTCCCCTTACGTAATTTTATTGAGAAATCAATAACCAGTGCATCATCGCCTTTTAGATCTTTCATCTGTGTGAGCGTTCAGCAGGGTAAGAAATTTGCGTTTTCCTGCGAAATCAAAATGCAGTGGAACGCCCTTAAAAAAAAGCCCAAAAATTGTCCAGGGCTGTCCCTACATCATTAATGATTCGAAAGTAGTATAGAAACTGCGTGAATACTGTAGGAATTTAAATTTTGAAGAATAAAATTGTGTCAAAATTGATATTAGTTTAATGTTATGATTCTGGAATCAAGAAGGCTGATGAATGTTTTCAAATTTGTTTCAAGTGCGAAAAAAGAATTGGATTTCAAAGTTATTTTGAATTTGTTTAGCCTATTTTGGTCGGTGCAGTGATCACACACACGTACACCCCTTCATATACATTATTTATTGATACATGAATGCGTTATTGATCATAGATTTCGTATTTGATTCATTTCGTTTCTTCGTCGTATTGTCACAGAGAAGGAATTCTTCGGACGATTTTTGGCCCCTTTGTTGGGCCACGATTTTTCAAAGGCTTACTGATCCCATTGTCAAATTTTCAAAAATTTCTCCGCGTAAATGTTTGCCTCAGCCACGAGTAAAGAGATGGATCTCGACAGCCTTTGATAACGGAGAGCGCTATTTTCCTCCATGAAAGAAAATGTGATCAAAATGGTGGGATGTAATTCGCCGTGAAATTTTTGAGTGGGTCAATTTTCCTCAGCTGACAGAGACGTCCCACTACTTCAATCGACGAGAGTAGGTCGAAATTTCCAGCTTCTTTTGTTTCTCCAGGCTTGGAGAAATGCGGAAACGGACTTTTAGCTCGAGTTCCGAAAGATTTTGAAAGCAGCTTTGGTTTCGTGAATATTCTAATTAGGGTACATTCTGAAGAAGGATGGGGTTTGTTTGCATCGAATTGCCTTCGATGGGGTCAAAATTAGAATGGGTATTTAGAGCGTAACTCAAGTGATGCCGTTTTGTTTTGCAATACTGTACTGTATTTTCACGAGTTCACTTCAGCATCACATTTCACGATGATACCCAATCATCACGATTTTTCTTCAGTCATTCCTTTTTTTCTACGACTTTCCGGGATTAAGGTTTCCTGGAGAGGTTCTTATTATCTCTATAAAAAATCTTGTCCATAAGGATATGTTCCGTGAGGATTTTTTTGTTGTTGCTCCCACATGGTTCTCTTGTGTTATACGGATTTTCTTTAACGAAATTTTTTTCACGGCGATCTGTTTGCTCCCACGAATTTCCTTATTGAGAGAGTTCACCTACTTTTATTATTTTTATTGCTGTTCGCGAATCTTGAATTATTTTGTTAGCTGTATGAAAGCACGAATTTTACTTTTTTCCTATTGCGTTCAGTTTTGCGTTTTTTGTGAAAAGGTTTTCAAATTCAGTGAAAAGAATAGCCTGCTCTGTTTATGAATTGAAATATTCCGAAAAAATCCTGTTGAATTTTTTAATGTTTTAAATCTTATGATGAAACCTGCTGCTTGAGTATTTCTACTTATAGAGATCGATATTGCTCCTTATCCTTCCTTCACTAAATAATTGGATGCTTTTGTTCCATACTCCCTTATGATTATAATTGGGCAAATTCCTCACACGGAACATGTCGTCAAATCATGTTCCTGTTCATAATCGAAATTCTTTTTTTTTTTACCGACGTGTCTCGCTTTTCAATAATACAATCTCAACGTTGGATCCTTAAAATTTAGCTTCAAAAACGCGCATGATTTTATTTTCGGTACAGGCATTCAAGGATTTGCGAGGCTGTGTCCGGGAGACGTTTTTGAGTTGAGCATCCGGCATGGGCGTCAGAAGTGGAAGACCCGTGGGAGAATCTGCAAAGACGGCTCGCAAACCTGGGACCGCCCGCAGGCCACTTTCAAGGCGTCTTGCCTGACGGAAACTGGTGAAAAGGAAGTCATGACGACGACGTCGACGTCACCGGCTGTGCTAATTGTCAAAGCTCGAGAAGTGAAACGAGGTCCTCTGGGACAGAAGGTGTTGCTGGGCAAGCAAGAGTGTGATTTGCTGCAGTTGCTTGCCCCGCGGCCAGTTGCCTTATCTCTGCCTTTGAATCAATCTGGGTCTCTGAAGCTCAGCATGCTCGTCGTATGGAGGTACGTGTTTTATTCCATCTGCTCTGCCTTGAAAAGCCAGAGAGAAAAGAAGGAAAACTCTTTGTATCGATTTTCGAAGCCGTATCCCGAAAATTCTTCGAAATATTCGAATGGCTGGCGTTTTTTGGGGCGTGAATAGCTGAGCGGCATTCGGAGAGAACCTTTTTTTTCCGCAAAAATTCTGGGTTGAAAGTAGGTCAATTGTGACGGGAGATTTTTAAATATCTTTGGAATCTGTTTTATTCATTTATTTTTCATGTCGAATGAAATCCGGACGGTGAGCTACGTTGGTACAATTACATTTTCGTCGGGAAACTTTTATTGAAAATCTCGATTTTCGAACAGCTACTTTCGCGAAGTCAAGATTTTCTTGGGTGAAAGCCGTCACCGCTCCAATTTTGATCATACTAGAATGACATTTGAGTTTTTTATTTTCATGGAGTCGTGGTTCGATGTAATTTTAAGAGATTAACTATTTTACAATTCATGTCTTTCTTCGAGTACTTTTCCAATTTTTTCTTATGAAAGAATGAAAATTAGACGAAGTGGAAAGTGCTCACTACCCATGCGACAAATTCAGGCGTATCTGTTATTGCGTCATGAATGTGTAAGCTGTCAAAGCGTTTTAAGTATTTCAAATAATTGACTTATATACTTGGCGTAGAGCCATATGAAATTGGAGAAAAGGCCATAACATTTTTTGGCAGTGGGGTTGGATTGTGAAAGCATTTCACGAAGTTAATTATGTGCGAGCAATTGCTCAACATGGGGGATGCAATTGAAAAATTCCTTGGAAAATAGACGAAGGATGCTTCAGTTTATTTGTATTCCACAAATGTTTATAAGAGTTCAACCGTTAAAACTCGATGCCCAAATGCAGTAATTTAAAGATACGGTACTGGAGTACGATATTTTGGAAACTTTCCTTTTTGCATCTAAAAAATGCACATTTCTCACAATTTTTCTGGCCGATGCATCTGATTCTCGAAAGTGTTTTCATGACTTGAATGAGCAATGTCCATTCTTTTACTTTGCGACCAGATCGCGGAAGTGAAGTTGAGTAAAAAGCGTGGGACCAAAAAGAGGAACAGCGAATAAAACTCTCACTTATTCTGGATGCCTATTGTGTTCCTTTGCAGGCCCTTGGACGCGATGATGGTGAATGGCGTTCCGTGGGCCATCCCTTCATCATCCGTCGCACTTCCGTCCACACTATCGTCCTCTTCTTCTTCCTCTTCCTCGTCAACGGCACTTTCGATGCTCAGAAAGACCCACCATGGCGGAAGTTTGGATTTCAATCGGCGCCCCCGCCAAGGCAGCGAACCACGTAGCATTGGCGATCGTCAACGCTGGTCCGCCAACCTGCGACCTTTTGCGTCCGATGACGAGTACGACGAAGAAGAGGAGGAGGATATTTGCAAGAACTGTGTTGAAGAAGAAGAGGAAGAGGATGCCGAGGACGACGACAACGAGAACAATCGAATGTGTGGACGGAGACGGCGGCATGAATCGCTGCCTACATCCGACTCCTCTTTATCGAGGAACACTGAATCTAGTTCCGGGAGAGATGAAACTTCGTCGGTTGGAAACACGGTTAGTATCTCGTGCTTTCATATGCTTGATCATTATCGATTTGCGGAAATGTTCGCGTTCTATTGAAGATAGTATTCTCTGAGATGAATGAGTTGATCGTGTGACTATTCTGAATAACATAAAATAATTGTAATACATTTTTCAGCTCTGAAAAGGACCCTTTGAGTCGAATTGAATGTTCATGAGGATGTGATGGGGAGGAAGATCCTGAGGTTTTTCGGAAATATACTGTATGTGAACTGTTAATGCCAAAATTTGTTCCCAAGAGAGAGAACGCACATGCGCATATCTATACAAGATTTATTTTTCCCATTTCTGTAAATTAGTTGCCACTAAGTTTGTCACATATATTTTTTTTATCAGATCCACTGCTTGAAGGATTCCGTGTTCTATATTTTGCTTGAATATTCTGACTAGACTAGAGTCACTTGCAAAGGTTCTTAGTCTTTGCCTGCCAGGAGCTCTGGGGACACTCCTGGTAGATGGAAAGAACCAAATTTTGAAGTAATTAGGCACTAAAATGCACGAGGCACACCGATTTGCCAGGACTGCCGTTTTCCTTTTACACAAACAAAAAAAGATCGTGCCCCTCCGAAATGCCATTATTTTCAAGATGTACGGGTGAGACTAAAGGGGTTCCGTCATGTACGTTGATTGACTAAAGCTGCACTGGGGAAGTTTATTGCTCAAAAATGCCGAGAAATTTCAAAAGAAAGCGAAAGAGCAGATGCCTTGAGAGAGCTGGAGCTTTCACGCGGAGTATTTGATTTTATTCTTCCCGTTTGAGCCATCATTTCAGAGAGAAGCCGGGATTGAAGTCGTGAGAATCGACGTAATTATATTCCTTGAAAAGTATCTTTACAAAATTCTAAGCTGGTGGCAGTACGACTACGAATTTCTTCAAACTTCCGGACCTCTCCTCGTAATATTGTGGTCGCGACATGAATCGTGTATTAGTTATTGCTGTCATGCGAGCAAGTACGTTCATTGCAGTATTTGTTTTTATTTGGAAAGCAATTAAAGTTTTTTAATTTCGAACCTAGTCTATCGGAGACGTACGCTCCTCTTATCTGATGATGAAACGTCTCGATTACCATCGTCGTTATTCGTCACAGTGCCGTGAAAATCATCATTGCGACACTTCGGTTTTCGCGGTACGCAACCATCCTCCGAAGAAGGTGACGAAAAGCGAAACGGTACCATGAATTATTTTTTGTGATCTCTGTGGACGATTCATGCTTGTTTGCTTCCGCAATGGGCGAAATTTGAAGCTTTTCTCGTCATTTCGTTTTTTTATTTCTGCCGAGTGAAGCAAGCTGGGTTTAGATGACGTTCAATCATGTGAATTACTGTGTGGAAACTTTTTTCACCGCTCGGATGTAATTTTTTGTCAAGGGCTGGCTTTCGATGTAATCTCCGGGGTGGCTGCCGTCTCAGTGATTAGTATGGTTGTGTTGGAACAGCCCGGAAATTCTTACTTCTGCTTTTAAGCTCCTCCATCATGGTTGTCCGCGCCTCTGATTTCGCACGCCTGCAATTGTCCAATTCGATAGGGACGGCTGTTCGACTGATGAGGTCGTTTACCCGTATCCTACGTCTTGAGTTACTACTGCGTACAAATCCATTCGTCCTCGGAACTGCTTCGCTGCTCTTAAGTTTTCGATTATATCAAGCCTTACTCGGACCGTTATCGTTGTGGTATGAATGAAGCAACAGTCGTGATTTTCTTCCACCGAAAATCAAGGAAAATCATTCTTGCGTCCACTTTCATCTGTTTTCCCCCCATCACGCATTCCAATCCCGACAATACTGTGTACGAGTATGAGTATGTGTCGTGTCGTGTGGGACGCGTTCGTATCGAGATATATTTTTGTATATTTTAAAATCTGATTTTTTTTTAAAGCGCGGTTCAAGATAGACCTCAATAATATTTGTTAGTTATCTACATTGAAAATAAGCTCTTAGGGTACCGAACTTTCTTGAGTTGAAATCCTCGCGACCGCTGTGTGATCAATACAGTTGGACAATCACGCGACGAAATTCAAGGAACGGGGGAAAAAGTGCGTTGTAAAGAGAACTTCGTTTTGGAAAACCTCTATAACATGGAAAAAGAATCCTATTTGAAGCATGTATCTGTTCGTTGAGAATTTTTCTTCATGGGGCTACATCTTGTTAATTGGTTGGAGCATCCAATTGAAGTTATTCAAATATTTCGAGCAACCTTTGAATTTCACATTACCATACAAGATTTTCCAAGATCTTAAAATGTATCGGATTGGAATTGGTCTTCCGATTCGAAGCATGGTTGCTTCAAGGATTTTCAAGTCATGGAATATTTCGGTCGCATGTGAAATTGAGATTGCACGTGAAATTTATTAAACGCGCTAGAGTTGCTTGGAAACCTCAATTCCTCATGGTGATGGGGTGCAATTTCGAATTTAGTTATTCCTCCATCTAGTCTATCCCCTCCAAGTGAGCATAAATTCGAAGCTTTTTCAAAAATGCCCAACGTTGTCCTGTGAAGAATATCAGTTAATCTGCTCTATGTATTAAGACTGTAACAAGAAAATCGTTGGACAAAATTGTCCAGTCGACCTTCTTGCTTTCCGGCACGTCCAACGTTGAAGTAGAAGACCAAAAGTACTTCTTCGTGTGTGCTTTTACCTTTTGGATTGATGAAGCATTTCTCCCTAATTTAATTTGCCATGTATTGTATAATATTACTTATGGGTCACGGCTGAGGGTTTGAGAACCATCTTCGTGCTGTGCTTCGAAGGTCAAACAATTCAATCAACGTAGGTTTTCTCTCTTTTTATTTATTTATTTTTCAAGATAACTGAAACAAAACGTGTGGTGCTCGTGACGTGATGCTTGACAGAAGATCTCTTCAGTAGTAACTCTTCGAACTGATGGAAAGTCATATTATTTTCTTCGTTGAAAGTGTCTCTCCGTCCCCACTATTTTTCATTTCATTTTACGAAAGTTTCTGACAAGCAGTTGGGTCTCTTTTTTTATTTTATATAATGAATTGCTGAAATAGAAAAAATTCATGAATTCGTTTTGAAAGTTGAAAGTTCGTCGCGGATGTGTGACGAAAATGGTCCCCTCTTTCATGATTTTGATGCAATTTTCAAGTTGTCGTGACGGTTCCAAGCGATTATTATTTTTCAGCATTTTTCCGTCCCATGAAATATTTTTTACCCTATTGAAGCTCACTCAACAAGAACCAGCGTTTTCGTTATTTTTTCCGTTGTGATGGTTCTTTGCGATTACTGTACACTACTGCTATCATCATTTTCCTCCTGATTCTTTCGAACAATTTTGATATTTGAAGATTCGTTCGAGTTGCAAGCTACTCTTGTGATATCTTTTGCCATTAAATAATTTACAACTGCGATAAATAATAATAAAGAATAATTCTCTAAGAATGTTCTTGGTGTGCGATGCGTGTGTATCACCAATTAGCTTTTTTTGTAACGCTGTTGATGAAAATTTTCCAGTTGTCGTGGTCGAGAAGTGGAAGCCAGGTGACGTTGGATCGAGGAGAGAACACGACCGACGAATGCTCGTCATGTCGCTCAACAACCACATCGAGTCGCTCAACGAAAAGCTCGTACATGCAAGGATCCGTGATCGTGCCCCGGGATCCCGTGGACCTGAACTTCACGCTTTCCAAGCGACCCGGCTGGGGTCTTTCATTTTCGCAGCGAGACAGGTTCATGGCACGCTCGTGCCCCGCCGTTGACCTCATCGCACCCAACGAAGCAGACGAGGACGGGGAGAATGAAAGGGAGAAACGGGATGAGGATCGTGTGGACGGGGATGATGATGATGACAATAGTGCCCTTGATCGACTGTCAGACTTGGTGGCCAAGGTAGTGGCTGGGGTGGACGATATCCGCGGCCGGTTCTGCCAATTGAGCGAGTTGGAGGCTCAGGTCGATCGCATGGATGAGGTGTTGGCGGCTGTGACTCCTGCCAAGCGCTCAAAAGTAAGACTTCTCTTGCCTGCGGTTTTCATTTCCGGGAATATTCCTGAAGTTCAACCGAAAAGCCGTTCGAAAAAAGATATTTTTTAGGCAACAATTATCTTTTTCATGCATCGTAGAATGAAGAAAACCAATGAGTCTAATGCTTTAAGGATATAATTGTTCAAAGTTGGTTGAAAAGTTAGGTTAAGGGATTTTATTTTTTGTTGGGTTATTTTATTTTTGGTCAAGTTAGTTTATTTCTGGAATACAATTCGAAGGTCGAGGAGAGCGTGGGATGGAGGCTCGTGGGGAAGTTATTAATGGTTGAAATACGGCAAATACCCCTAACAATCTCCCAGTACTATAAAATCAGCTTTTCAGATTTTTGAAGTACCGCATGTACTCAAATACCCACGCCCCTTTGTGAGAGGCGTGCACTTTATCTTCTGCAATGGAATCTGCAAAATGTAAATCTTTAAGTTTTATATTGTATATCGAGCAGATGAATAATTTATATAAGACGTGCGATTGGATTTTTCCTGCTAAATTTTCAGAGAACTTTATTTTTATGGTCGGCGTGTAATGCATAGTGATCGAAATCTATTCAAATATGTGGTCTGTACCAGTGTTCCTTGACCTTTTTGGGCTACCGGACTGTCAAATATGAAATGTTTTTTGCGGAAAGCCTTAATTTTTTTTACAAGAAAGCCAACGTCTATTTTTTATCAGATAAAGTCAACTGCGATTGCCTTTTTCAAATATTGATGATAATATCAGAATCCATTCCTACCTTCGATCAATCTTTCACTCTGAAGAAATTTTCCCACGGACCGGCAAAAAATTTCCCGGACCGGCGTTGGTCCGCGGACCATGGGTTGGAGATCACTGACCTATACAATGAAATTTAAGAAACCCGAGAAGAATCGTTGTAGAGAGAATTTCATTGTACCCGTTTAACATCGGAAAGAACCCTATGCTAATGAGGGGAAAAATCGTTATGCACAGTTAATTTTTGTAGACAAGACCATTGAAGATGGAGTCCACCTGTACTTATTTATTGCATTCAACTTGCTACCCACGGATAATTCGAAATGTTCTGTAGCTGTCAGACGTAGGTGCAAATAACCGCGAATTATCTGGGCATATGACAGGTTTCACTTATCCATTCAATCGAATACGTTTACGGCACTGTACTCGAACAGGTTGAAAATTTTCAAAAATGGTTTAACTCGCCATTACTGCATAGTACTGAAATTCATGCGTGTGTCCGAAGGATTTGATCTGGAAATTAGTCGCATCGGAAGTAAATGCGGTAACAGAGACCAATATAAATTGCGAGCGAAGTGGGCTGCTTATGTTTTTCTCAATTATCATGGGTGCTGTGGATTGGAGCGGGAGTAATTGAAGTTCTGCTGTACTTTAAAATTTATACTTTAAAATTTAACTGTAAAAGAAGTGCGTGCTGAGATATATTTTCCAAAGGCTATTTTGGTATTTTATGACTCCGTTGAATTGTTTTCCCTGAAGTCTAAGAATTGAGAATTCTCGAGCAATTTCTCTGATTTTTAGCACAAGCATCTTGGGTGCTCCTTGAAATCGTTGGCGCTTTAGATTCGCATGTACTATGATACTGCATGGCGTTATACATAAAGGTGTTCGCATTTTAATGAATGTCGCTCCACGTCAACTCCATGTACTTTTTTTTTTTATCAGTGAGACGCTAAATATAGATGTAAGTGCAGAATAAAAAACGCTCGATACCAATGGGGATAAAGATATGAACGGATAGTTTTTTTTTTTTTTTTACCCTGAAGGACGCGGTAGTCATGATTCCTTTATTTCGCTTGAACGTAAATTAGATTGAGCCTCGACTTTCATGTAATCAATTAGCTTTTGTTGAGGTACTGTACATTTGAAATTTGGAAATCAGGGAATAG